TGCGGCGGCGAGTGTGAGGTCCGTGCTCCGCGCGGCGCCGCCGAGCCCTTGAGCGGCGAGAACATGTCCATGTTGGCATACGCCGAGTACGCCGACGTCCGCGCCGGCGACGCCCTCTCGCGACGGGCAGCCGGCGGCGGCGCAGAGGACGCAACCGGCGCGGTGGCAGGGCCGGCAGAGGCACCGCCGGCAGTCAGAGCCGCGCTGGCGCCGGCGCTAGCCCCGGGCCGCGCGCTGCTCCGCTTGCCCGACACCGTGTTCTCGACGTCAATGGCAGCAACAGAGCTCCCAGGATGGGCTTGGAGTGTGGTGGCCGGTGCCGACGAGCGGGCCTTGAGGTTGTAGACGAGGACAGAGCCGGCAGTCGTGCCCACAGGTATGCCGCATCGGGCAGCCGACCCGCCTCCGCGGCCGAGACGGTGAGACCAGGCTCGAGCTTGGCGAGGTGTAGCCGTACGCCTCTGACGCCGGGACGTCCTCAGGTGCACGGGCCGGCGACGCGTACGACTGCAGCGCGTTCTGGATCTTGGATGCGGCCGCGGTGTAGGTGCTCGGCATGCCACGGGAGCCAGGAGCAGACGGAGAGCGCGGCGGCGAGTGAGGTGGAGACCGTGGTTCGACAGCGGCCCGGCTCGGCGGCAAGCCAGCGTGCCGCGGCGGCGAGTGTGAGGTCCGTGCTCCGCGCGGCGCCGCCGAGCCCTTGAGCGGCGAGAACATGTCCATGTTGGCATACGCCGAGTACGCCGACGTCCGCGCCGGCGACGCCCTCTCGCGACGGGCAGCCGGCGGCGGCGCAGAGGACGCAACCGGCGCGGTGGCAGGGCCGGCAGAGGCACCGCCGGCAGTCAGAGCCGCGCTGGCGCCGGCGCTAGCCCCGGGCCGCGCGCTGCTCCGCTTGCCCGACACCGTGTTCTCGACGTCAATGGCAGCAACAGAGCTCCCAGGATGGGCTTGGAGTGTGGTGGCCGGTGCCGACGAGCGGGCCTTGAGGTTGTAGACGAGGACAGAGCCGGCAGTCGTCCCGACGACGAGGGTAAAGCCGTCGTCGAGAAAGGCGATGCACGAGAGCGGGACCGGGGCGTGGATGACCTTGACGATCTTCTTCTCAAACACATCGTAGAACACAATGCGCTTATCATGTCCCACTGTGGTGCAGAGCAGGTGGTTGACCGGTGAGAAGGCAAGGCCCGATGCCGGTCCATCGTGCGCCGCCGGAAAGACGGCATGCTCCGCGCCCGAGCTCACGTTCCACAGTCGGAACGAGCCATCGTCATGCGTCGCCGCCAGCAGTGACTTTTTGAACGGCGAGAAGCCTATGTCAGTGATAGCAGCCGGGCTCGGCGGCTCGAGGCGGGCCATCTCGCGCGAGTGAACGAGCGAGTGGACAAGGAGGACACCGGCAGCATCGCCCGACACCACAGCCTTGTCTGACGGGGTGAACACAATACGGGTGACTTGCTGGGCATGGCCATCGTCAAAGCTCTTGACCATGCTTCTGGTCTTCAGGTCCCACACCTGGACCGACCGTGCCATGCCACCAGCCACCACATACCGCGAGCCGGCCGAGAAGGCAAGAGCGAGGACCGCGCCTCCAGCAGGGTCGGACACCAGCGTGCCGAGCAGAGCCCCAGAGGCATGCGATAGCGCAATGGTGCCATCTCCACCACCAGACGCAATGAATTGGTCTACACACACACACACACACACACACACAT